TTGATCAATTTGATCTGCTGTTTGAAGCTCCCCAAACCGAAAATCCAAATCTTGACTCTGATACCAAAACATCCATCACTGGCATCACTTGTCCTCTCTTTATCTCTCAACCACCAATAATCCCCACAACTACATCACAAACCTTCTCCATCCCAGATCCTCCATCTCCTTATCTTTCTACACCACCCAACTTACCCATAATTATTTCTGATTCTCCCTCTCCAAATAACCACCTAGAAGATCCCCTCAGAATAATAATTGGTTTAGAAGCTTGGGACAATCTTGTCACAAGCTCTCTGAAAATTGTCATTCCTAAACCAACACCAAAAATATCCAAAGCAGATATTTGTAAATTCTTGCTAATTTTGGAAACAGAAATACAGGAATAGGTTAACTCTCTAAAGCTAGCTTGCATGGAGAATACCAATCCAACTGCTATTGGTTCTCACTGGAATCAGTTCAGAAAATGGTTTAACTCCAAACCTCTGAAGCTAAAGGAGCTCAACTATGAAATAGCTCGACAAAACTTATGCGATCACCTGAATATTTTCAAGGATCAAATTATGTGACACTGGGAAAAGAAAATCCTCCTTTTCCTGGACAACACCCCTTGGGAAGCCCCTCAGACATCAGAGTTTAATGCATCATCTTCTGAACCTCTTCCTCTAGTCATGTTTCAAAACAAAGGCAATGCATACGAAGAAACTCCTGAGCAAGAATCAGCTGCAGTAAGTTCTAAGATGTGGTCTCCTCTGCTGATAAAACCTCATCTTCTCTTGTGCTGAAGACTCTAGAGGAGTTGAAGAAATAAAATGTTGTGTTTGTGTAAAGGTTAGACAAGTAGGATGAAACTAGCAAGGAAATTAAGGGGATGCTTTGGAAACAAGAGGAATCAAACAATCAGATCAAGTGTTTATTGGAAGCCTTGTTCACACGACTTCCACCACCTCAAACTTATCTATGAAAAATTGTTTTGTTTCTGCTATTTATTACGCATTTCCATGTTTTGTCTATCTTAATCCTTTTTAAATACAAAATGCATTCTATTATATTTCTGTGTTTTATTGCTTTTTGATTCTTGACCAAAAAGGGGAGAACGTAAGATATTTTGAATATAACAATAACCGAGGCTCAGTCTCAAACATTTTAGAAATCATAACTTCTATTTTTATCCTCTGAAAGTAAACAAGAAAAATCCATTGAAAAGCAAACTCTGAAAGTAACTTTTATTATCGATGCAATAAAAACCTCCATCTCAAAACTCTGATCATAACATCTTTAGGGAAGTATTTTTTTCTTTATCTGAGTATCCAACTCAGGGGGAGATTTTAATTCTTTATGTCCTTAAGTATTATATCAAAATATACAAGTTTTTGTCATCATCAAAAGGGGGAGATTGTTAGAACATAGTTTGGTTCTACATTCTTATAAGAGTTTTGATGATAACAAACACATGTTATATATAAAGAACAAATATGCTCTCTAATAAAGTATTTTAATATGCAGGGAAGCTCTGATGAAAGAAGCATAGAAGATGAGAGAGTTAAACTTCTGAAGCTCTATTATGCACATCATACTTATAAGCAAATATGTGTAACACGCTTAAAATGAAGAAGTTCTAAAGCTACAACTTCTTATTGCACCAACACCGCGAGACAAACACCGATATTCCAATAAAGTAAAGTTCTGGAAGAACAAAAAGAAATCTCAACCGATAACATTCATCTTCTGATATGATTCAAAGAAAGAAATGTTCTGAAGCGTTACTAAATCATACATTACAAATCAAAAAGTAACGGCTGAACCAAGACAAGATATCTATTTTTGGAAAGAACATTAACTACACATTATCAACCTTCCAAAATCATCTTCTCATGTCTCTCATAAATCGCCTATATAAAGCAGCCTTGAAGAAGAGATCAAGCTACACATTATTGCACACTGAAAGAGAAAAGTCATCATTACCCCATTTTATATCGTGCTTTTCAATTGTGTATAAATCACTGTTGTGATATAGTTTTACTTAGAAAATATTTTTTTACACACCTTAAACTATTGTGTTTTGTAATACCTTGAGAAAACCAATTTGTGGTTTAAACTCAAGAAGACATTGACAGTAGTCATTGTATATGTGTAATCAAGTTTTAATTAGTGGATTAAGACCTCATTTGAGAGAGGCGAAATCACCTTAGCGGGTGGACTAGAGTAGTTTGAGTTCAAACGAACCAGGATAACCAACATGTCTATTGCTTTATTTTTGAAAACCCCAATTCAAACCCCCCCTTCTTGTGTTTTTCCATTCTTCAATAAGTTGTTTGGTGGATCCCATGATCAAGAGATTGATGTTGCAAACTTGGAAGCTCATGTGCCTAAAATGTCAAGAGGGGAAATAATCTCCCTATTGAAGGGAACTTGCAAAGTGCTGGAGGACACTATCAGAACCGATACAACAAGAAAGGGTAAGCTCGGGGATCTCATTTAATACTTAATGGAGGATCAGAAAAGGAAGTTGAGGTTGCTGATGGTGAAAGCAACAATGCATCTGATACATCTGATAAGAACTCATCTGATGATGATACCACTGTAACTGATGAAGAGAGTGAAGGATTTGGCTCTGAGGAGGATGGTGATACTGGTGTTGCTGGTGCATGATAACTACAATCGTGTGTTTTGTTTGTTCTTTTGGTTTTCGTTGCAACTTTTATTTTGGTTTATGATTAAGTAAGGGCTAAATGCTCAGGATATTTTTGAATTTTTTCACCCTAACTCTATAACCTTAGGTGCTTAAACTTTTTTTGCTAATATTGTTTACTTGCCTTTGTCACATTATGGCCACAAAAGAGGAGTAGTATGATATTAAGGGTGCTGGAGTTGGCACTTTCTTTACTGAGGGGGGGAATTTTATGATTCTCTATTTGTTATAGCAGGTTTTGAGGGGGAGTTCTTGCTTATTTTTGAAGAGATGTCAAATATGATGTCTTAACATCATGGTGTGACATTATGGTAGGAGAACTTTTGTTCTCTATTTTTGGTGCAATTGTGTTAGTAGATCATCTGATGTGTATGTTTGATTTATTTTCAAGCATATTTTTTGTGCAAGGGTTGTTTAAGTGTTTTAACCAAAATGTGCCAAAGGGGGAGATTGTTATTTCTTTGAAATTATGGTTGGCTTACATTTTGGTAAAACCATTTTAGCAGCAACATGTTGAATAAGATGTTTCAACATTTTGTCGAGTAAGATATCCCAATAAGGAGATAGGACATCGTGTCTGTAACAAGCTGACAGTGTGAATCAGCTGATTTATAGCTATTGAATATTCAGGGAATATTCAGTTAGATTTTGTGGCTTCCAAAATTGATAACTCAGAATATTCTTTGATTAGTTTTCGAAGATTTGATTAGTTTCTAAATATGGAGATTTATTAGCAAACTAATGGTTGAAGACCTATTTTCTTGGAGGACTTTTTGTAGACTTTGTACAGCCTCACTGCTGCAATTTTGAAGCACATCCTATTTTAGAATAAATTTATAAATATACTAGTGTATACCTAGTATTAGGTAGAACTTAGGTGTGTGTTTTAGGGTTGTAGAATCCTATTTTGTGAGCCTCTCTACTATCATCTTGATAGAAGAGTATGACTATTTCGTTGGGTTGTGAGTTCTCTTTTTTAGATGTTCATAAGCTTTCAAGCATTAAACATATTGTGTGTCAATCCTCATAAGCTTTTAAGCATCGAGTCTTGCGTGTTTTAGAAGTATAGCTTCTGGTTGCTTTTTGTCTTCTACTTGTGTTTAGAGTTTGCTCCAATTGCTGAGTGTAATTGAAGTGGGATTTGAGGAGGGCCTCATACCTAGGTGTGTCTTAGGTAGAAGTTAAGCAAATGGTAGTGATTAAGTGCATAGAATATAAATTGGAGGTTTGATGTAAGGTCTGTAAATTGATACTATCTAGTTTATTTCATCCCTGGCTTGGTAGCCCTCAGAGTAGGAAAGTTGTTTTGAACTGGGTAAACATATCTTGTGTTATTTACTTTATGTGCTACTATTTTTGTTTGTACATCTTGTTGTTGTGTGTGAAGTCGGATCTGTTGTCTCAACATCTCATAGGACATTCGGGATCTGATAGCCAGAATTTCAGGGGACTACATTTGGAAGGTTATTATGCTTATGGATCAAAAATACAAAAGCTTAGACAAATGGTCACCAAATTGGGAAGGGTCATTTCAAATTATCTAAGTGTTTTCAAACAATCCTTATGAAGTTAAGGAGTTAGGTCCTAAAAGTCGATTTCTAAGGATAAATGGCAACTACTTAAAAAGGTACAAGCCTATGCTATAGGAAATACAAATAGTGGAAGAGTGGTAATGCATGGAAAAATATAGAGCTAAAATAGCATTAACTCAAAAATTCCAAACTAGCAAAAAGTCATTAATATAATGATAATAATAAAAGTTCAGATAAAAAAATGAAAGGGGAGTCAACTTTCATTTTCTCAAAATGCAGTTTGGCAAGTCGAATCTTCTTGCCATTCATTGAATCACCAGTCCTCACCTTGTTGGTTTCTTTCTCCAATGCACAAGTAGTTTAAGCATACTGAATGCCACCCTTAGCTTTTTTAACCACTTTGTTGCGTCTAGTTTAGAATGTTTGCATCACAAGTGGCTAATCGTTCCTTGTCTCCTTTAACCTCTGATTCCCACTTATTGATTAGACTATGAGATTAAGTGACTAAGTACAATTGTATAGACATAGAATTGGTTTATCTATCAAGTCTATCATCAGATTCCTTTTTAGTTTGCTCAAGAATGACTCACAATAAAGGTGACAATAGAGTTAGGTGCCTCTGGCTTGTTTAATTGTGTTAGGAATCCCTTAATCTTATAGAGAGAAGCAAGATTGTGTTTTGTAGTCTGAAATAGATCCATATCAGCAATTTTTGTTTTCAATTATTGGATTAAATTGGAAAAGAAATCACTAGAAGGTTCCTTGCATGGAGTAGGTTAAGAGTTGGGATATTTTTCGGTCGGAGTCCCTCGACTTCCCATGATTATTTTGAAAGCTTCTGCAAGGTTCTTCTCCTTAATATTCTCTATGCCTCCTTGATCAAGAATGGTGCTAGAAATATTAAAGGAAGAAGCTGAATTTGGGTTTGCGCTGGTTATTGGCGAAGGCGTTGGAGCATGAGATTTTTGGGTTTGCTCCTCCTCGACCACAACAAGCTGAGGAGAAAAGAATAAAACTGAATAAGTTATGCAAAAGTACTTATATTATTAGAACAAGGCAAAGGTATGGAAGGTTTACTTGTGTTATTTACCTTGCATTGTTAGACTTTTCTTCATCGTTGGTTGTTTCTATTATTTCCTAGATTACTTTGGATTCATGGGTATGAATGAAATAGTTTGACATAAGTGAGTAAAGGGAACATAAAGTAAAGTCCAGAATTTCCTAATAGTCTCGTATGTTATCTGCTGAGATAAGGTACAAGATCGAAACATGTTCAATATCAACATGAAGATGGCCTTTATGGTCGTCCATGTTATACTTAGTCGAAACTACTCTATGAAAAGTTTATTGTAGTGCATTATTTAAACATACAAGGATCCACAAAGGATTCAGTCTGCAAATGATGGTTGAAAGGGCAAGCCAAATTCACAGGTTGGTGTTGCACCCAAAAATTTACCCTCTTACATTTAATCCTAATTGCCTTATGTCTTCATTATCATTCACACACGCATAGCATTGGTCTTTATGATATGGGATCAACACTTCGTGTGAATTAGGGTTTTCGCATATGAAGAAGGAGATACAATGATCAATTAATAAAATTTTGAATATATCAATAATAATAAGAATTCTCTCAAGGCACATGGTTTTCTCTCTATTCAAATTTCTCAAAGATCATCAAAAGATCACAACTCATTGCTTCAAGATGGATCACAAGCTTCCATCTATTTGGTTTACTAAATTAGGGTTTTGGTTAAAGACAACCTAAGGTTGAATTTTTGACCAAATATTAACTTCATGATGCATGACATGATGCAAAATATCCATATGTACCTTATTGAATCATCCAAGTTGGCCCAAAGCATTGAGATTGACAAATGAAGAAGTTTTGACCTAATTGACTGAAAAATCAACAAAATTCAAAGTGAAGATCAAACTGTGGAAGTTATGGTCAACATGAACGTTTCTCATCATTTTCCATAAAATAAAGAAGATTAATCAAGAAAATTTCAAAAGAATCAATAAAATCCTAAGATTGATAAAATTAGGGTTTTGGAACTTTTCTAAGTATGGAAAATCTCATGACTATCTGCGTGACTCCATAAGCGTGTATCTCTCTCATCAATGGTTCAAATTGATCAATAATGGGCTCAAACTTTAGAGGAGACTTCCTACTACAAGTTTTTAGAAGGAATCAAGTCCAAAAGATGCTTGGATCAAAAGTTATGAAGGTGGAAAGATGTTGTTTCAATAAGCATGTGAAGCCCTACACTTAGAAAAAGTTAGAGTGTTTTCAGGATGGTTAAGTGCATGACTTTAATGAAGTTTTTCATGGTGTTCAAGTCATAAATTCAAAATCCTACCAACATTAAAGATGTTAATCTCCTCATCATCTTCATAGAGATGTCAAGATCTCTTCATTTGAGTAAACAGGGTGGTTCATCAAAGTTGGTAATCCATAACTGATCAAGTGGAGAGGTTAACTAAAATTTGGTTAAGTTTGAAGCAGTTGAGAATGCATTATTTATAGGAAATATTAGAGGGTGCTAAAGGCATTTCTCAAATTTTAACACAAAAAATGTCGAGCTTCATATCAGCTTTCTATTAACCTCAAGTCCTCATCATGAGGAGGCTTGTAGCTCAAGATATGTGATCCCAAATAAGGGTGCATAGTGTTGCAACCACACATGTTTCACACCTTATACTCATTTAAGCCAAACTAAAATTGCATGCATGATTCATGGTGAGAAATTGATCAAAATAGAAAAGGATTTCCAATAAAACTTGTGAGATAAGTTTGTATACACCATACACTCTGGTAATCCCTCTCTCATCTGATCACAACTCAACATAACAACCTTACAACCAGCAAAACTCGTGGCTCTCACTCTCTATTTTTCTCTTCATCCAAAATTCAACTCAAGCTTCGATTCACTTGACATACATGCGCCACAATCCATTTATATAACAATATCATCATCATTCAGTGAGGGGAGGGGGGCAGTTAGAGAAAATGGTTGCAACAGAGTCACGATCTAAAAAATTCTCTCGAGTTTCAGCATCTTCAAGCTTAATTTTCACCTTCGATTCTATATAATTTGAAGATATCTTTAACTCTTTTCTTCTTCTCTACAAATGGAAGCTTCTGTGTGCATTTATTTTTCACTAGAAGCACCTGTAAGAAAAATATTTAGATCTATGTTTAATCTCTGAGTTTTGATGATAACAAGCATATATTTTATAAAGAGCAATTTTAGTTCTAATGGTTTCATTGAGTGTGCATATACATAATTAGAATTTTGGACAGTCTTATTCAAGATATCATCAGAATCACATTATCACTCAGAATAAGAACCATTGAGTTCTGCTTCTAATGTAACATCAGTAGTTCTATGGAATGTTGAATGTTCAACAAGAAAAGAATCTAAATTAGTTACCACGAAGATAGAGTTTCTGATATGCTACTGCTACAAATCATAAATCAATACTGGCCAAGAAACAAGCTTACAAAATAGAAGATCAGAAGTCAATATTTGCTCATCAGAAGAGTTGCTGCTCATATTTCTGAAGACAAAGTCAAGATTCTAAAGACTCAGAGATTTCATGGAATACTCACCTTCATTCAACATCAGAAGTATTCCATCAGAAGAAAGAAGAAAGATCTTATGGACTCACATCTAATCAACATCTCAAAGTCCATCAGAAGACAAGATCAAAGGATGATATCTTCTCAAGATAATCTACTCAACAGGAGTAATATTCGTTAGAAGATAAATATCATCAGAAAGACCACTACACTCAACAGAAGAAATATTGTGACCACTTCTAACAAAAACATCAGCAGTTCTAAGGAATGTTGAATGTTAATTAGAAAGGGGATCAATACAAAGATCAAGAGATCAGAATGAAGATATTCAATGATAAATCAGATATACTTATATAAGTTAATACTTCAAGAATCAAACATCAGACATGCAACTTAGAAAAACTGATTATCAAGGAATCAATACACGATCAAGATCAGAAAGAAGATATTCAACGTCAAATTAGATGTACTGATATAAGTTGTTTCTTCATAAATCAGACACCAAATATGAAACTTAGAAAAGATATTAATCAAAGTATCAAGACAATATCAATATGTATGTGGTAGATCAAAAGAGCTTTCACTCAAAGAAGTTGTTCATCAGATAAGTTGTTGCTTGTATATCTGAAGACAATGTTCAACTATCTGAAAGACCATGACTCTACAATAAAGAATAATCTTCTGGATCATTATCACTCCTTAATAAGAAATAACCCAACAAGAAGAAAAGAATCAAAGCTCAAGAATTCAAAGTCTTGAGAATCAGATAGGCTTTTGTCATAATATCTTATTTCAATGTCTATCATCAGAAAAGATTTTGATATCTTCATCAGAAAAGCTTTCACAAAAAATCAAGAATTGTTTTATTCAGATAGGTTGTTGTCGTTCATTATGAAGACAAGAATCCACTATTGAAAGTAACTGAAGTAAAACATCTTCTCAACATAATATTCATCTCTCATATCAGAAAAGAAATATGCCTTCAAGAGTAATTCTAGATTAGAAGAAAAGCTTTGTATTTTAGATAGGCTATTACCCAAAATTATGAAGACAAGATTTGGTTCTGACACTCTGGTGTTCCTGCACTAAAATAACAAATTAGTTTTTGAACTACTCATCAGTCAATCATCAGAAGAGCAAAGACAAAGTGATTGATCTCTTCCAAGCTTACTACTTCAGAATCATAAGTACATCATTAGAAGATAAGGATCAAGAAACTTAGTCAAGAAGAAAAGAGTACAATAACAAAACTATTCATAGTAGTTGTTATCCCACTGATATATGCTATTACTGCAAGCAACAAGTATAGGAAAATTACGTTTTATACTGTTCAAAACCTCTCTTGAATATATATGTTGGGAGTCAACCGTTGGAAGGAGAAAAGACTTCTTTATCCTTATAACGACTATTTTCATCTAGAGGCTATATAAGAGGACTAAAGCTTCAAATTTAAATTGATGAAGAGTCCACGATCTCAAATAATAAAAGATACAGAGTTGTTGTTTATGATAAATACAACCACTTCGAAAGAAAGAGAGATAAAATGAAGAGATGAAATGATTAAGCAAGGATTTGTTGCTCATATCTTGCTTAATGATGAAAGAACATGAAGATGAAGAACTATACAAGATTTTATTTAACTACCAATCATATACATCTTAGAATAATTATGAAGAAGAAAGGAGTTGTTACTCATAGCTTGCTCAACGAAGAAGATGGAGACAAAAAGACTGCAAGATGTTGCACTTAATTTAGATTATATTCATCTATGTAGAAAGAATGTAAAACACAAGAGTTGTTGCTCAGATTGTGTTATTTCTTAAGAATCTTCATGTACGTTTTTTATACATAAGAGTTATTGCTCAGAATTGTGTCAAACAATATATACTTAAAGTAGGAGTAATTTTCTTGATTAGAAGTGTGAGAAACCCTTTTCTTTGAGTAGTTTTGTATGATAGAAAATATGTGTGATATAAGTATTAATGAATGTTTATTGTCTTTGATCTCTATGTGTGCATGATATGGTAATAGTGTAGCATGTTCTAAAAAAGTAAGAAATGTGTTTTACACATGTATCATGATTTCAGGTCAATACAAAATGCTTTCCATCGACACATTCTTAAGATAAAATCACAAAAACAATTCTGCTTCAGTATGAGTCGACTCATTTGCAATTTGCATCGATACATGTCAAGTTCATGATTCTGGAAAACATTTTAAAACCTTTATGCATCGACACATACACTCATGCATCGATACATATCATTTATTGTTTTCTAGAAATCAAAACCAACTCAGTATGAATCGATACATTCGCTTTGTATCGACACATAATACTTTATATCGACTCATCTCATGTTTTGTAACTAACACGAGTCGACTCATATGAGATATGCATCGACTCATACTACGGTTTCACTTCTAACATTTTCCTGTTACATATATAAGTCAACTTTGCAATAAAAAACATATAGGGTGTCATAAATACATTTGGTGTGCATCTACTTTTCTAAGCATTAAAAACCTGAA